TTTGTTAGTGTGAGTTTCTGAATTCTGGCAGAATTGTGTGCAGTGAGACTGCACTAGATAACAATTCCTGAGATGTGGTGAGGAAGATTTTCCATCCTCTGTCAGTGGTTTGCTCATTTGTATATTCTATTCAGCCAAAGGATTTCAGGCACCCACAGAGTCTCAGATTTTTCCTCCACCTCTTCAAATGTTAAAAGAAAAGGATTTTTCTTTTTGTTTCTTCTGCTGCTGTTATTTTGCACCCCCCATTCTACTTTTTTTTTTTTTTTTTTTTTGCTGTCGGGAAAGCAAATTTCAAAACCTTTCTCTGCTTGCCAGTTCAGAGAGACCCAACTGGTTGTTGTAAAATAGTAAAGAGGCTATGTAAATGCAAGCCTGGAGCCCTGGCCCTGTTTTGAAGTGTGTGGCAGGATGCCCACTGTTATTAATGATCCTGCACACGCTGCCAGGGCTGCTGCTCCCAGTGCCTGGTGGTCGCAGGACAGCCAGAGCCTGGAGCTGAAAAATCTGTGAGCAATAGAAAGCATTCCTGAAATTGGTGAAGTGTTTCCGAGTCTGCCTTTATCATTAAGCTATTTTTGAAGGGATTGGGTAGTTGAGGGGAGGGGGCAGGGGTGATTTTTTTGGTGTGTTTGCATTTTAGTCTGATCTTGGATTTGCCAAAGACAGATCTGTTTTGGCAGGCAGTGGCCTGGCAGTGATGCATCTCACATGCTGTCTGAGTTTGAAAGAGAAGAGGGGGTGCAAAATGGGAGGAAAAAAAAGAAGAAACAAAGTGACACCAAAGTTTTGACTGGAAACTCTGCCATTCTGGACAAGAGCAACTGCTGAGGAGTTGAACTGTTCCACTTAGTGTGGACCAGCTGAATAACAGCCAAAGTTTTTTTCTGCCCTTTTCAGTTATTCATATCACTCCCACCATAACAGCCCTGAGGAGCTGCATTTTTTGTCTGTGTAAACCCAGAAGACAGTGTGTCTATTGACCCTTTTGCTGTTTCTGGAATGTGTCTCAGAAAATTGTTCTCAGCAAAATATCCTCATTCTTTTCTTCTGTTGGAGACCAAGATGGCAGAAAATGTACTTTGGTTTTTAAAAATTTCTTCTACACTTTATCACAAGTTGCATTTCCTATTAAAGGAGGCTTGAGGGAGAAGGTAAATGGAACAATATAAATGAATATATTTAATTCTCTAAGAGCCTTCATGTAAAGTGTAGCAGTTTGCAAAAGTTTTCTTACACTTTCAGAGTTCACAGTGCCCATCATAAAGTGTCCACATTCCCTTTCTCTGTTCAATTTTCCTGTTCAAAGGCATAAAATATTAGAACCAATTTAATTCAGATCAATATATAAAGCTTTACTAGTGCTGCAAGTTTGCAAGGATTATGGATAAGTTCCCTTGTCTGGAATTCTTTGGACTTGTTCTGTTCTGCACTGATTGCTGAAGTGGCATCATATTGAGAAAACTGCAGGTGGTTTCAAGCAGGTGCTAAGAAAGGCTTGCACTAAATATATCTCTCTAACATGAGTTATTTCAGAGGTTTGCAGGTTGAACTTTCTTCTAATTTCTTATTTTAAAAGGGAACTAAATACCCCCATAAATACTTCAGTTGAATCAGATTTCAGTGCATCAGTGTCTTACCCTGGCATCTCCTGCTAGAGTCATTTATCTAAACCAACTTGTTATTTGAGAGTCTGGTTTCTGCAACTCAGTTGTTAAGAAGAAAATCTGCAGGAAATGTAATTAAAATTGTCTTGAGAGCTCAATGTTTGTGCTCTTCCTGCTACCTTAAGAGAGAGATGCCACAATGTGTGCTGCCAGCTCATATGGCCATTGAATTTAGTGTTGTGTTTCACCAAGGTGGGATGTGCTGCTGAGGCCTGATTTTTTTAAAAAATATTTTTTAAAGTACTGAAGACAACCACAGGAATCAGCACTTTGCAAGTTAATACTACTCTGCAGTTAGCTATTGTGCACGTTTATTTTGGGGCAAAAAACTGTTACAAAGGTATGCCTGGTGTAGGAGATGTGTGAAATCTGTTCATCTTTTGCAGTGCCAGGCATTTGGAAGCAAAATGCTGCTGTTCTCCCCATAAACCCCTCAGGTGTACATCCCCTTTTTGCTTTTCTACAGTGCTGAAAGGTGACCTCATTCTTTTTTCCTTTGAAGAGGGGACTTTTTGCTGCATTCGGAGTCCACCTCTTACACTGAGCAGTCTATCAGCCTGCAGAGGTGATTGTGTTTCACATATGGGACTGGAAACTGAGCTCTTCTCACTCATCCCTGCCCAGTTAAAGGAGAGAATGTGTTGACTGAAAGTTGCATTCCAGTATTGTTCTCCTATATCTGAAGTCATCGTCTGGTTTTTCCAGACCCCAATTATTCCAAAGCCTTTCCTCCTGGAAATTCTGTTCAGAGCAAATCTTTTAACATTAACTCTAACTCTAAGAAGCCACCAAAAAACCTTCTCTGAAGGTGTTTGCTTGCACAGGTGAGCAGTAAAGAAGCAAAACTTCATTTTCTGTAAAGCCCAGCTATAAATTACTCCTGAAATAGCTTCTGTGACTCTCTGCAGTTCTGGGCTACTGCATCCATTACTCTGAATGTGAAACTTAACATCATTGACTCGTTTTTATCATTCTGTGCTTCAACAGAGTGCAGGAGTCTCACTATAAGGTACAGTTCTATTAATACTAGAAGTGATGATGTTAGAGGAAGTGACATACCGAAATGAAGTAATAAAAAAAATTATAGATTTGATTTTTTTTTTCTAAGATCCAAATACCTCATTGGAAAGATATTTAAACAGTTTGAAGCTTGCCAAGTGCATTAAGTGGCCAAGAGAAACAAAGCATCACTAGGGCTCTTACATAAAAAGTTCTGGTTTTGGAATGCACCCAATTTTGTTTACTCATCTGCTGCCCCCTCTTATTTGGGGCCAGTTAAGATCATTTTGGAAACTGAGTGTCTGCTCTTGTATACATTTAGCTCAGAGTTACTTTGTCATATCCAGCCAATGAGTTTGCTCATGAAAATGAACTCTGATGGCTTTAATGCTTGCTGGGTCTGCCTGGAAATGTGTAATAATGGATTTCTTGTTTTTCTGCTTCAACAATAGAGTCGAGGGACAAATTCCTGAGTTGCATTATTTAAAATTACTTTTTAAAAAAGAAAGAGAGACAGCTGGATGAGTGGGAGTGGGGCTGGTATAAAGTCAGCTCAGACAATGGGTTCCTCTTAGGTAGATGGGGAGAATGGGGCTCACAAATGGATATTGATCTGCAGCAGCTGGGATGTGAGGAAGGGGTTGGGAGATGAGTGTGAACCACGCTTACAGCTGCCTCCTTTCCATGGCTGACTTTGTTTTCCTGCTAAATCTGTGTTTATGGCACAAGGATATATTGTTTTCCACTCATATTTAATGTAGTTGTATGTGATTGTGTGGATGGTGAAGTTTAATAAACTTTACAGCACTTGGGCAGGGAAATGATTGATGTGGCTTCTTGGAATTTGATTGCAGGAGATGAATTTTCTGGAATTAGGCACTCATTCTTTGCAGGAGTTGGTGGACAGTTAAAACTCCTGGGAACAAGCAAAGCTGAAAATGTCTTTTATTGGATTCACTTATTTGGTTATAGTCACATTCTCCTCCATTTGATGCTACTGTTTCATCTCCTGTGATGCATTTAGTGCCCAGTATCTCCTCATTCTGCTTGAATTATTTCTGTAGAAAGAATGTGAAGGGGATCTGTGAAATTCCTACAATCAGCTGCAGAAGCAATATCTGAATTGAAGTGAAATAACTTATTAGGTGAGATGTGCAAACTTGACAAATGCAGGGGAAGGCTACTTCTGTACAAATTGAGATTTGAAACCTTCTGGCAGGATTTGTTACCTTCCAGTTATGATTACAAAAACGTTCCATGATTTAGTATTCCATGGGTTTATTGTCAGGAAACTATTGTCTGCTTGGAAGAGTTCAAAGAATAAACCTGTTCTGAACTGGTTTTAGTGGGAGCCCACTTAAAATATGCTAAAATTCTTTGCTGTGTTGTGTCCCCTGGAACATGGCTTTTAAAGCAGCATTTTTCTGCCTTGTCTTAAGGAATAATTCAGAATTTCAGCAGCAGACCTCCAACCAGGGAGGGGGAGTCTCAATGAGGGGAAGGCATAGGGAATGTTGGAAGGGAAGAGAAGGAAGAATTGCTGTATGAAGGCCAAAGGCAAGGAAGGAAAAGGCATCTAAAGCAAACAGATGGGAGAGGCAGTAAGGGAAGAATATTGGGCAGTGAAACAGATAACAGAAGGCCTTGGGAACAGAACTGTAAGGAGAGGAATCTGAAAACATGAAAGGGTCACTTGGGGACAGATTATTCTAGGGGAAGAAGTGAGATTAATTGCCCAGTGCTCTGCTATGTTGGGTAGTAAAGCAAATCATCTGTGTGGGTAAAAATAGGAAGGGAGGCATCTCAGCTGCTGCTCAGGCTCCCCTTTCTTTGTGTGCTTCATGCCAGGGCTGTGTGAGGAGTGAGAAAGGGCAGGGCACACAGAGTTAGGAGGTTTTATCATGAATATGCTGGCTAAAATGAGACAAAACAGTTGGGATTTTTTTTTCCCTTTCCCCAGAAAGCACTGCTTGCCAAGAGGGAAGCAGCTTCTTAGGTGACATCCACCAGGGCATAGGGAGAGCAAGAAGTGTGAACATGAATGCACTGGGAAGGTGCCTGTCCCATGGGCACGTGGAGGGGCCACCTTGTTTTGGTGTTTGATGTGCAGCTCAAACAGAGGTTGTTCATGGAAATAGCACATTGTAATCCCAGGAAGGAGCAGCAGCACTGTCCACACTGCAGCTTAAATGTTTCACAAAATAGGAGTAAACCAAAAGCTGCTGTTCAGCCTCACAATGTTCCTGGATAGTAATATGTGGAGTACCACAATGCAATTGCTTTCCATATAACCTAAATTTATAATTCACCAAATTTCTTTTGGTATTTCCTCAGGCAAGACAGCAAGCCCAGCTGAGGCATCAGATGGCAGAAGACAGCAAAGCTGAATATTCTTCCACCCTACAGAAGTTCAACAGTGAGCAGCATGAGCATTACTACACACACATACCAAACATCTTCCAGGTAAGGGTCACTGGCAGGCTCTAGAGTATCCCATAATCCTGTGACAAGAGCATTGCACATCACCTCAATTCTATGGCCATGACTTTTAATTTTTGCTGATTTTTTTGGTCATTCTTTGCAAATTTTACATGTAATCTGCCACCGTGAGAGGTGGTAGGATAAATTATCCTTTTTTCTTAAATTAGATATAAAGGCACCAATGATAGACAAGGAAGGTGACGTTAAAGTGTCGTGACAGATGAGGACAGCCTTTGGAATCCTCACAATCTTTCTCTGTTCAGCTCCTGTGTCTGTGCAGCTGGGCATGAGGGAGAGCATCACTGGCATTGTTGGGGCAGGAGGCAGCTGGGCATTGCTGCATCTGTAAAGTCCAGCAGCCCTTTATAACCTGTGGTATAAATGTTTAAATGTGAACCACAATAATTCTGCAGCAGTGGATCCAAAGGGTTTTAAGCAAGCTGCTGCTGATGGTGTCTTAGGGTGCCTAAGGACAGGCTGCAGAGGAAGAATAAAAAAGCCATCAGATTCATTCTGAGTGAAGATCTGAGTTTGTGCTTGAATGAATGAATTGAGGTTAATGTAGTAGAACAGAACTTCTAAATGACTGTTCCATTGTAATGGGTCATGAGCATCAGAAGTGGAAAATGCAACTTTTTCAAGGGAGGACATGTCACATGCTTGTCATCAGATAAGTAGCTGATATTTACGTGGCAAACACACTTTCTTACCCACTGCTGAAACTTGTGAGCTAAATGGGCTCCTCCTGTTTTGCCTCATGGCATTTCAAAGCAATGCCTTGAGATAACCTGTTCCTGGAATCAGGCAAATCCTGGAGCTGATGAGCACCCTGATCTGTAGGTGAGAATGTTCAAGTCCTGCAGATGTGCCCTCTTCCCTATCAGTGCTCCAGGGCTTTCTTTTAGATGTTGAAATAAGTTGTTTTGTGAAGAATTGATGTTGCTTGTGGATCAAGGCAAAGGGGAATTTTAAGCTGCCTGCTCCTGCAGTCCAGTGTGACACAGGCTGTTCCTGTTCATGCCTTCTGTATCCTGCTGGCATTTGTCACAATAGAATTGTGCCATGTTCAGTTTCCCTCTGTGGTAAAGGAGAGGCCCTTGGAAGAGATGCTGGAGATCCTGGAACTGAATCCACTGAGCAGTGAGGAGCTGTGGGGTGAACAGCACGTGGTGTTTTTATTGTACATGAACACATCAATACATGATGTGTTGTGAACCAGACAGGATGTATAGAATTCCCTAAGCACCAAAAATTACCTTCTAGGGAAGAGAAGGGGAGACATCAAGATCTTGGCTTCCTTGGATTCTACAATGGAATGAAAATAAGATTGTTCCTAACATGCACAGAAAATGAAAGAATTTGTTGCAGAAATTATTTTAAAAGCCTTAGGAACCATCCTTACAAAAGTCTAAAGCCGGGGTTTGACAAATCAGCATTTTTTAGCATAAAAAGTTAATTGAAAAATTTCTAGCAATAGTAAAAGAGATTACTTTTAGAATGACATTTTGATGTTTGAGGGAATAGTATCACTTGGTGCCTTCCTGAGAACAGCTGTCCTAGTTTGTTCTTAAAAATATATTTAATCTCTAAATTTTAAAGTAATTGATGTAAGCTGGAGAGGAAAATTGGGTGAAACTGCAAAGTTAATCTTGGTGTTTGACCTGAATGAAATGTCATCTTTTAGAAAATACAAGAGATGGAGGAAAGAAGAATCGTGAGGATAGGTGAATCCATGAAAACCTTTGCAGAAGTCGACCGCCAGGTGATCCCCATCATTGGGAAGTGTCTGGATGAGATAACAAAGGCTGCAGAATCCGTGGATCACAAGAATGTAAGTGTTGCATTGTTGGTTGTCATGTTTAGTATTGGTCTCGAATTTATGGAGACTGAAATCCTGGGCCCAGGATCAGCACAGGAACTTTGCAGTCATGGAACTAAACCAAAGAACAGCTTCTGAGGCAGGATGTGCTCAGATTATTTCCCAAATCTACTTAACACCCAGAAATGCTTTTCCTGCAATACTTTTTGTTTTTTTATTGAGGAATACTCTCTCATTTTATTAGGATAATTGCTTTTTGTAATACTGCAATTTAAAAGTAGGCATCAGCATGTGATGTTGGACATAATTTCAGATACTTAATCACCAATTCTTATGAAGGTGGTTTTTATGTCTCATAGAAAACTCAATGTTTCAGAAATGTCTCAATTCCTGTTAGCTTTATAATAATGAAAATTTCAAGTATTGATTACGTGAACTATTGCAAAATCTTTCTGTAAAATATTTCTTTGCAGGTTTGAGGTTTGCTGCTGATCTGTACATGAGCAAATCTTGATTTCTGAGCAACATTTTCCTTCACAGGAAAAGAAACCTCTCTGATAGAAAGGCTGATAACGATTTCAGTTGAGCTTCCTGATGTACAGTGACCACAAGGGCAAATGTGTTTTTTGTTTTGTTTGCAGAATGATCTGCTCCATTCCTACAGGAACCCTCTGTTCTTCCAGCCTTTCTCATGGATTACATTAGTGCTTCAAACACTGACAGCATGAGTCTTGCTGCCTGTTTGAATTTCCCATACATGTTTTCCACTGGAATCTTTTTGGAGCTGTTCATTGCCTGGAGCCATGAACTGGCAGCATAAAGCCCCAGGCTGAAGTTTTGAAATTAATCCTCAACTCTCTGCTCAGCAATTGTTCTCACAGGGAGCAGCATAGCAAACTCAGGAATCTGGGAACCACTCTCTGAGTGGGAAAAGGGGGAATTGGGGCAGCAATTCCCATGTTAGAACAACATACCCTGCTCGAGGTACAGCTTTTGGTGGGGAAATCATGCTGGGGAGATTCATGTGTCAGCCTACACTCTGCCTGAGTCTTCTTAGCAAAACACACATGAAACTTAAGCTGAGTGTTTGAATCAGGGTGAATTTTATATTCTCTTCCTCACAAATAAGTCCAAGATGGCTCATACACAAGTGTGACATTGGAAAATGATGACTTTGAGCATTGATAACTGAATTTCCAGGATGTCATGTAAACAGTGTGCTGACAAAAAATGTATTTAACCAAAATAGTCATAGCTGAGCAGCTACAAAGGGTTTAGTGTGTTCTGTCTGGAAACACTTATGTTCATAAAGAGTTCTTTTTCCTTAAATATCATCAAGAATTTTTTTTATCTCTGGAGCGATAATTTCTAACTGTGCTGATTGTAATGAAAGTGCTGGATTAGTTACTAAACATGTAACTGTAAATAGGATTTCTTTTTGCCCTCACTGCACTGCACAGAGTTCCTGTTAATGCCAACAAAACTGCCTGGACTTAGCAGGGAATACTGGTTCACTGTTACTGTGTTTCTAAGGCAGTTTTACATAGGGATTTTTTTTCCATTTCCCCTTTCTAACCACTTGAACAACACAAAGGTCGTGTGGCAAATGTGAGCTGTGGTGGCTGCCAGGTGAACCTGTGCAGAATTTGATTCAGAGGGCTCTAGCAGCAGATAAAATTCATTTGTTACGGCCTTGGAGTTCCTGTTATGACATTATCTCTGATATATGGAGCATGCTGGCTATTTTTAGCTCCATTGTAGTAGAATGATGTTTTGAATAAATGGAAGGAACACTAAAATTCAGAGGGGAAAAAGTGAAAATCTCCACGCATATGATAAAACAGCAGTGGAGTATTTAATATAACATAGTGTAATCTCTTTGAATTAAAGAATGGTTTGGGTGGGAAAGGACCTTAAAGCCCATCCAGTTCCACCCCTGCCATGGCAGGGACACCTTCCAGTATCCCAGGCTGCTCCAAGTCCTGTCCAGCCTGGCTTGGAACACTTCCAAGGATGAGGCATCCACAGTCTCCAGGCTCTTGTAAATATTGTAAATGGTCTCTCTCCATCTTTCCTGTAGGCTCCCCTTAGGTACTGGAAGGCAGCAGCTGAATCACCCCAAAACCTTCTCTTTTCCAGGCTGAACCATCCCAATTCTCTCAGCTGTTCCCACTCTTTTCCCCTCTTCTCTAATCCTCCTTCATCTTGCTTTCATGTCTTATCATTAAAAGTTTAGGTCTCAAGAAGTTTTAATGTCAAACAAGGATGGGATAATGGAAAGTGTTGTCCTACCTCCCTAAAACTCGTGTAGGAATTTCATGGTGCCCACCTGATAGACTGAGGATCTTAAATCCATGTGGATCTTCACAATGCCATGAAGACTTTTGCAAAGCTTTTGCTCTCTCTGTTTTGCTCAATGGAGCCTGGCCTTTGGATATGTTTATATCCCAGTAGATTTCTCCTTTACAGCATTTTACCTGCAGCCATTCACAGAGCCTGTGAAATGCCTTCAAAGCAACAAGTTCTTTTTATGTAACAGGGCAGTGATGCTCTTCCCTAGAGAATAATAAAATGTTTCTGTGCCAAGGCACAGTGTCTCTAGAGATTTTGGAATACAGCTGTTAGAGCATAACCTAATCTCTCTTCCCAAGAAAACAAGCAGATAAGAAGTCTATTAGGATATTTTTTTTCCAAGTCCATTAGGTTTAAATGCATTTGGCAAGCTCAGGTCTGAATTTGATCTTATGTATAATTAATTTTGTTTGTAGACTTGAGTAGGAAAAATGCTATGGATTGATTTGGCTTTGATTTGTTTGGTTTTATTTTTCCTTTTCCCTCTGTCCAAAACAAAAGAGCAAAGCCATTGTGCAGAGTCTACAGCCAGTTTGTGGCTGGCTTAGATCCTTCCTAGCAGTGCCAAAAGGGAATGTGGCTTCAGTGGCTCCCACAGCAGGGCATGGGGCTGCTGGTGTCACCTTGCACTGCCTGGATGTTGGGTAAAGCTCATGAAACATTTACAGCCATTTACTGTCACTAAATTCACAACCAACTGTTGACTTGTGGCAGAGTGATCACACAAGGGCTCTGTTTTATAGGAGATTTACTGGGATTTTCCTCTGATTTGCTAACAGCTGTATTCCCAGCAAATCTGTACCTTAAATCTTTGTTATGAGTCACTGATTGAAGTGTGATTTGCTTTTCTAGTCAGTAAAGTTCATAAGCTCTTATTCCTTTGCAGCAGAAGGTGGAGAGACTTGTACTGATCCTGGGCTCTGGAAGGGCCAGGAATTCATGGCCAGGAATGAGCCTGGTCACTCCCGGGGCTGGTCCCACACTGACAAACTTTTTGTTCTGCCTTAATGTGCCACCAATTTGATGTCAAGCCTCACCTGAGATGTTTACACTTTGTTGGCTCTGTCCCATTCCAGGACTCCCAGATGGTAATAGAAGCCTTTAAATCAGGGTTTGAGCCTCCAGGAGACATCGACTTTGAGGATTTCACACAGCCCATGAAGAGGACAGTGTCCGAATCCAGCCTTTCCAACTCCAGAGGGGATGGGAAGTCAGAGCCCAAGTTTGGTAGCAAATCCAAGGGCAAGTTATGGCCATTCATCAAGAAAAATAAGGTACTGATTTGCAGACTTGAGCTTGGTGCTAGTATGTGTTTTGTCAATAACAAGTATGTGTCTTGTCTAGTAATCTTGGCGAGTTTAGTTTTTTTAAAGAGAATTTTAGATTCAGAAAGTTAATAACTGATGTCTTAATATGCTGTTTTGTTGTAGTCTTTGGTTACTTAAGTTTCTTTATAACTTTAATTTTTTTTCTTGTATAATTTCATTAATTATGTTGCAATTTTAAAATTAATTTAACTTAAGTTGTCACGTCTCTGCCATGGTCCATTTCTGTTCCTAACTCAGAGAAGGAGTTGTAAACCACTTACCTAGTGCCATGTGTGCCAACTAACATTGTTACCTGTGGGAAGCTTCAATGTGGTGTTACTGTTTTTGACACTCCTCAAACTCTCCTTGCCTCTCCATTCGCGTTGTCTTTCCAGTCTGTGCACTGGGGTCAGCAGGTGGGTGGCTGGGACCAGGGAATTGCTGGGATTCACTCTGAATCACAACTAATGGAGCCTAACTAACTGAGCAGTTGACTGTTTAAAAGACCATATTAACTTATGTACCCATTAAACCTTTTTCATTCCACTGTCATACTTTACACCATAATGCATGGCAGCATTTATCTGGGGTTACAGGACGTGTCAGGGGGACTGGACTCAATCAGCTTTCAGTCACACTGATGGAAGCCCAGAATAGCTTCGTTTTTTTTTGACCTCACTCTTGCTCTGACCCTTTACCCAACCACTTAAATTTGAGTTTTAAAAAAATCTCCCTGTTCACAAGGGGTCATCCCTGTAGTGCTGGTGTGGGAGAGGACTCGCTGTTGTCTGGTGCTTACATCAGTGTAGCCAGAATAAAAGCACAAGCAGGACTAACTCCTGAGCAAATTTATGGAATGATCTGTACAAGTGTGATGCTGAGGTGTGATCTGGAAGCAGGAAGGAATGTGGTTTGTTGTTTTCCAGATAATAGAAACGCTACTGGGCACTAAGGTACCTTCCTTATCTGATCCATTTAAATTCAGGTATTTGAAAGCTCTATCCATATGCATTATTCCGAGCTGTCCACAGAGCAGAACAGGGCAATTGATGGGGATAGTGCTGCATGGAAGAGTCTGCATGAGCTTCCTTCAAAATACTTTTGTGTTACTCTTCTGTTGCATCACTTACTAATACTTTCATTTATCACAACTCTTCATTTAACACTACTCTTAACCTCTGCTTTCTCCCCTCTTTTGAACCATGGCCTTTAATATTTAATTATTTGATTGGTTTTTTTTCTCTGGATTTCAAATATTGGTTTTGATGCTTATTTTCGTTTTGTGTTTTATCTTTTTATTTTTGGTTTTTATTCTGTCACTTCTCCATCTCTTATACGTAGCTTATGTCCCTTTTAACATCCCCCCATCAGCCCCCTCCTCCTCCCCCTGCCTCTGCCTCACCCTCTGCTGTTCCCAACGGCCCCCAGTCTCCCAAGCAGCAAAAGGAACCCCTCTCCCATCGCTTCAACGAGTTCATGACCTCCAAACCCAAAATCCACTGCTTCAGGAGCCTAAAGCGAGGGGTAAGTTCTCCTCTGGATCTCTCTCTCTCTCTCTCTCTTTTCTTTCTTGCGCTTTTATTGCACGTTCTGTTATGTACAAACTTTTGTTTTGTGAACGGTTCCATTGTGTTTTATCATAACATGCAGACAAATCCAAGGGTTCCCAACCTATAAAGGCATTTGTAGTCAAAACCCCCACAATGAAACCACAAAAAGTGCAGTTGCTGGTGGAAATCTCCCATCTGGGTGTCTTGAGGAGGAGTGACTGGACAAAATACAGGAGGAGGAGCTGAACATTGAGTAATGCTCATGCAAGAAGTCAGTCTTTAGTTTTTCTCTCTGCAGGGTGGATTCAGCTCAATGTCTGTGCCAGAGGAAGAGGATTAGGGATTCTAGGAGATGATAGTTGTGATTTCAGTTGGTAAAAGTTCAGTCAGGAATGATGTGACATTGTCACTGGAGCAGTGGGAACTTCTGTTCCAGTCACTGGATCTCAGCTTGTGGTCCAGGTCAGTTTGTGTAGTAACCCTGAGTGTTCATGAGAAACAGGAGCCGTGAGGAAGGTGAACTGATTCTGGGTGGCAACAAATCCTTTCCATGGTCCGTGTGTGCTTTAAGCCAGGGCTGCCAGGTCAGGGGAGACTGGACACAATTCTCAGTGCAATGATGCACAGTTTAAAATTCTATTCTGTGTGCTGAAAGCCTCCATGGCTGATTTGGGGATTCACCTGGGTTTAGGTCACACTGGACCAACACTTGGTGGCACATCACCAGTGTCCCAAGCCCAGTGACCCCGTCTCCTCTGCTGCTGATAAGGAAGGAAATATGGTCTGAGGTTTCCCAGGTCAGCTGCTGTTCCTGTTGCTGACAGCATCTGTGGTTCTATTCATAAACCAATGTTGAAGTGTTTGTGTGGAATTAAATCCTCTGTCTTCTTAAGTAGTAAATAAAATGTTGGGTCTCTGAGATAAAATCTGCCATTTTTCAAACAAAAATAAGACTTTATCTTCCCAGAAACTCACACGTGACATGGTTCTACTGAAAATTTGTTGGCACAGCATAGCTTTGGCTCCTAGGTGAAAGTCCTTAGAATTATTTTCTCCTGTAAAAATTACAGGAAGGAGACAAAAGTGTTCAGTATTTTAAATGTTTTTTAGAGCAGACAGTAACAGTGAGGAAGTGACTATTTTAAAAAGCCCAAATTCTGCTCCAGGCACTCATTTAGGACTGAGGACTGGAGCTGTATGAAAGCAGAGATGTTTTCCATGGGGAACTTCAGTGGTTGGTTACAAAGAACTGAGAGCAGTGCTGTAAACAATGCACTGTCTCGCCTGGTTACAGACAGAGCAGTTAAAAATAAAGATGTTTTAAACAGTTTCAGTTCTTTGCTAGGAAATTGTCATTTAATGGGACACTCAGAACACAAAAAATCCCATTTCTTCCCATCCCCGTTTCACTGGGGAAGTGGGAAGTTTCTAAGCTGTCCAAAGGCAGGTTCTGTACGTGTCCCTCCTTCCCTCAGTTGCAATTTGGCTCAGAGCATTTTCTCTCAGTGGTTTTGCCAGGTGCAGACAGACTTTCAGATCTGCTTGTGCAGCAGCAGAGCTGAGGATGTGCTGGGTGGTGGCACCACTCCAGGGGTGGCATCTGGAGCCCTCCTTGTCCTGGGCAGTGCTGGGTCACTTTGGGGTGAAGGCACTGCTGCAGCTCAGGGCATGTGTTGCCATCTAATGCTCCATAGTGGCATTCAAAGAGCAGAGTTGAAAATAATGCTGAGTATTTCCTAATTGACTTAAAAATACTGGATTGTGGTTCCATGGGCACCTCACCAGTTTGTATTTCAAATGTGCAGATCCCTATTGACTGATTGCTTGGCCATGTAAGCAATTACAACTAATAAATAGTTCCTGAAGGAGGGCCATTATTTATTACTTAAGAAATCCAAGCACACCTTAAGAATTCTGCATGCCATAGTGTTTTGTTTTGTGTCAAAGGCCAAGTAATGAGAACAATGTCCATAGTCTTCTCTGGAATCCCTCAAATTTCTGCTGACACATTCATTGAGAATGTGCAAGGAAGGGCTGTTGCTAAATCTTCATTTAAACCTTTCACTGTGTTTTTTTGCTATTTCATTTCCTTCCCCTGACAGCTACCAGGATGTTTGTATGTAAATACTTTTCCTGCCTGACTCATCCTGAGGATTTGGAGTCCAGTGTTCAGATCATCATCTCTTATCCCAGAGGGATGAATTCAGGCCCCTTGGATCATGCAGAGAGATGGAGGAGGAGGAGAGGCTGCAAACCTCTGGCAGCCTGCTCTGTCTCATTTGGAGACTTGTCAAATTCACATTTTGTATGTCCTTGGTGATTTTTTTTTTCAAATGATCATACTAAGAGATCATCAAAGTGCCGTAAGACCTTCAAAAATAAAATCATTCTAACCAGGCAAAAAGAAAATCAAGAACTGCCCAAAAACCGTTTTAATTTATCAGGTGAAAAATGAGTGCTTGATATTTCTTTCAGTTGATATGACCCCTGTTATATTAGGTACAACTAGACAATACTGTTAATTCTGCTTTAATCTTATTAAGTTTAGTAAGATTTCTTTTATTCAGTTACTTTCCACTCCCCTGTAAAATCCAAACCCATCTTAGTTTTGCTCAGGACCATGAGCATTAACGTCAGGAATACTGATTTGTGATGTTCCCAGAGGAATTGGGAGGATGTAAGGTGGAACTCTCCTCTGCACAGAAGAACATTTGATTTGTACATCAGGGAAGCAACTTTTGGAAGGTCATGCAGGAACCAGCACAGTGTAACAGGAGTTTGGATCATTTCATTTGCTCTGAATTGTCTCTGCACTGCTGGGTTTGTTCCTTGGCAGAATTCCACTCCAGACACCTTCAGTGAAGGTGCCCACAAGGCTCTTTAAGTCTTATTTTAAGTGTTCAGCCGAATTGCAAGCAGGTGCTTCCTGGATTTCTTGATAATCTCAGCTCTCAAATCTTACAAAGCCAGGGAACAAAGTTGACTTGAGAAAAAAATGGGATCACACTCCATTTTTGCACTGTGCTAAGGAATAAGGAAAAGAAAAGTAAACTATTTGACACAAGCAAGTCCTGAGACCATAGCAGGATAAATTCCAGCAGCAGGAATTGCAGGTTGTAATTGATCCTTGAAACATAACACGTGAATGGATTCCCATACAACTCCTCCATGAAATCTGGGAGATTAGAATGTGTCTGGAGAGGGAGTGTGTTTTAGCAATTTCCTTTGAAAATTTTGGTTTAGCATCTTAGGTTGCATTTGGCAAAATCACTGGTGACTGTTCAAACAAATTATATAATAAGTTATGATATGTCCTGTGCCCAGTCTGGTTTTAATTTTGCTTCCAAACCAAAAAATCTAATGAAACTTGTTTTCATGGAAGGAAACAGATGCCTGAGCAATTCACAACAGATGCAAGGTTAATGTAATAATAATGCAATTAATAATGCACCAATACCAGTATCAGTGGTCACTGCCAATATGAAATCCAAGTCTGTTTTTTAAAAAAAGTAAAATTTTAAATATTTAGATGCTGACTCTTGTCAGTGTCTATGGTTTTCTAATCACGTTTTTGTATTTTCCTCAAAACTTTTTTCTTCTAACCCCAGCAGCAGAAATGTCCATTATAGAGAATACCATAAAACTGTTAGAGCACTTATTAAGGATCAGAACTAGGAGAAGGGGAAAAAGCTGTCATACATTTTTTGTGAGTGTTTTTTCTAATAGCTGCTTTAAAAGACACCATAAAATTAGTGTAGCACTTCAAATCTGCTTCATCTCTTTAGGGAAGTTAAAGCCAGAAGAGCACAAAGAATGAGGAACCAGTTACATAACTTATAATTTCATTTATGCTTGCTCTGCTTTTTCTAATTCCATTTTGAGAACAAAGGAAATTCGGTATTCTGCTGCTTGGTACTAATTTTGTGTTCTTTAGTTTTATTGCTGCAGTGGCAGTAACATCAGCACCTTTTTTTTTTTTTTTTAAAGAGCAATCCTCCAAACTAACAACATCCAGGGGTAGAACTTACACCTTTGAATGGCTCTGTGTGGACTTGGCTTTCCTCCTCTCCCCAGAGCCTGGGAAGTGACTGAGCAGGGAGGATGCTCTGGGAGCTGGGGCAGACATTACTGCCAGCATTCAAGTTCCATAAAGCACACGGAGGAAATTTTGTGGTTTCCTTTCTAGTGGAAGTTGTTGACTTCATTACAATGTGATTTTATTTCCATTGCACCCGTTGCTGTTGTCCTCCTCTGACACTCTGTGCACTCCTGCCCTGACTCTGAGCTCTGAATCTGCCCCACTGATCAGTTCTTGGTTGGTGTGTGAGCATGCAGAGGCAGCAAACAAACCACCCCTCTCCGAGCTGCTCAGCTCCCTGCCCTGGGAACTCTTGTTCTTCTAACCCCAGTGTCTCCCCCTGTGCCAAGACCGGGACTTTTTGGTGGGTGGGGTCATTAAATCCATGGTTTGTTCTAGCTCTGAGAGAGATGTCTCTGACCTTGGTATTTAAACAAGCATTTAAAATGCCGTGTTTTCTGATCTCTGAGCATGCTGAACTCTCAATATCCACCTGGTTCCCAGGAGGCTCCCACTCTGCACTTGGAGGGGAGTCCAACAGCCAGCAGTGAACACAGAGGTGCTGTGCTCATCCCCGGTGTAACCAATGTGTGTTTTCTCTTGCTGACTCACCAGCAGACACAGTCTTTGTATATTCACAAAGAACTCATGAAGAGGACTTTAGGGACACCCACGTGTGCCATTGAGGCTAGGGAATATGTTGTAAGTCTGAGTATGGTGTGATCAGCCCATACTGTTGCTACACAGTCGCTAACCCCACTTACAACCAGTGTGCTGTGGGAATGTGCTTTGTCAGAGAGCCAAGGAAAATTTGGTGGGAGGCAAGGGGCAGCTTACAGTGTGATGTGCAGGAAAGATAATGTCTGCTAGTCCTGGAAATGCTGAAATTGGCACAATTAAAGTAGCTGGACCTGTGAAATTCAAAGTGTTGCAAACAGGTTCTGCACATTTATTTTAAATTATTTCATGAATGCAGTCTTGAGCATCGTGAGCCCTGATGGACAGGAGTTCTGTGCCTTGGTTGTGGAGCATTCCCTTGAGCCTTTGGAAGCTTCTGTGAGCTGTCTGTAATGATGATAGCTCATGGAATCAAGATATGTGACCTCTAAATCTACTACTTGGATAAACCAGAGTATGGGGAGATTGTTATAGGGCCACTAAAAAGAAAAAAAAAAGAAAATTACCTCCTGGTTGTATGTATGGAAGTCCAGTGATTTATTTCAACCCCGTTTTCTGTAAGTGAGGTTAGTGGCCGTGACTGTCCAATAACACATGGACCTGCTGCCTTTCATGCTCCCTCATGTGTTATTGAAGCTTGTGGCTCTTAGACTCTTCATTTTTTCCCTGCAAGACTAAGCTAGGCTTGGTTTAAATTGACAGCTTGAAACACATTTGCTCATTTGAAGGAAATGTAACTTATTTGGTCATTCAGGGGGAAAACGTCTTTGTTCTCCCAGGAGCTGTGAGCAAGTTTCTAGCTGTGAAAACCCAACAGAATGGGCAAAAGTAGTTATGTAGACTTTAATGCAGATTTATTTTCAATCTGCTTATATTTGTTTATAGAAACTGAATCACTGTCACATAAAATTACCAATAAATTTCAGAAATGGAAAACTGTGAATATGACTTATTTCAGCATTTCATTGTTTCCAGCCTATGAATTGCTTTATTTATACTGGTTATAACAATCCTTGATGTACTATTTGGAAATGCTATTAATAAGTTCTCTATTTTTGTCATACTTAACAGCAAAAGAATTGGGCATACAGTGTCTGTAATCCCTTTCACATCTGCTGAATTTGCAGCAAAAGAATAGCCTTGATGCAGATGATTCTGGCAGTATTTAGTGCCTTTAGTGAGTAGTTTTTAGCCACTAGCGCATGTAGCATACATCTGTGCCTTTCTAGAGTGCTTCATAGGTAAATATTTATTCTGCACCATGAGTCTTGTCTGTATCTATGTACAAGAATCTCAATTTGTGCTGATCATGTCTATGCTAAAGTTCACAGGAGTGCTAAAGCAATGATGCAAACACAAGCTGCCTACGCTGAATTTCCTCAGACCATTCTTTCTCCTTCTGTGATTGCTCTCTCCAATGGATTGGTTTTGTTTGCTTTATTTTTTTAATGACCTCTTGAGCTCAGAGGGTGAATTTCTTTGTTGCACTGTGATTATTATGATGTGTTTGCTCCCTAATGGACTGGACTGCAGAGAGAGGTGTCACTGCTGCCTTGTCACTGAATGATCAGTTCACATGCAGCATTTCACTATTATTTCAAGACCATTTATTTTCCTTGAATGGCTGGCATGTGTTGCTGTACAAATCCTGGTAACTAATGGGAATTGTTATTTTGGGGGGAAAAAGTGTATTTCTTAAATCAGGTGCCTGCCCACAAGAGGTGTGGAGCCTTTATTTTAAATCCAATGAACTGTGTTTTTGCTAAAAATCGATCATCTGTTTGAGAATGCCATTGCTGGGAGCTGTTGGTAGTGACAGAGAACTTGAATGGAAAGAGGTTCCCAAGTCTGGCAGCACAAATCCTTGCCTGGAGAGAGGCATTTTCCAGCTTTTACCTTTCAGTTGTTAACGTGGAGTGTGTGCTTTTATGCACCTCAGGTTTGTTTGGTAGTTGAAGCATTTCACAACTGCTGTCCCTGCGAGCTGGCAGGGCAGCTCAGTGCCCTGGAGGAGGAGGAGGAGGATGGGTGGAGTTTGGATTCTCCTTTTCTATCTGGCTTTAGATATCGAGCAGCAGCTCCCTTGTGCTTGGCACAGAACTGAGCCCTTTGGTCTCCCTAGTTTTTGGAAACCCTTCTGAACTGCAGCTGTTTTGTCCTTTTGCAGTGCTGGAAGAGGCTTTGGGAATTTTGGTGGTTGGGTGCCCAGGCACAGTTGTTCACCTGGGATTTTCTGGGGCACCTGCCCAGAGCTGTGTGTGCAGGTGAGGCAGGGCAGAGCTGCTCCATGGCCTTTCAATCTTGCTTTCCCAAAGTAACTAAAAGATAATCTTAGGGCTCTGTCCCAGGAAATGTGGTAACTTCTGAAGAATTAGATCATGTATATATCATTTAAGGAGGTTGAATAGTGTCTTACCACTCTGTCATAGAAACAATTTGGTGTCAAGGGAATAGATATTTGTTTCCTCCTCCTTGGGCCTGACCTTGTCTGACTATGGCCAAAGTTTGAGTATTTGTTTCTGAATTTTCAAGAATGTGCAGTGGTTTTCTGTGCCTGCCTGGGCAGCACTCTGCAGTCCACAGGGACAGTCCAGGGCTGTTGTCCTTTGGCTGCAGCCAGAGATCCAGGCATTCCCTGGAGCTCCCATGGTGCTGGGTGCTGCTGGAGCTGCTCCTCACCTCTCCATGGCTCAGGGTTACCCCCCCAAAACCCTTCCATGAAGTGGCTGATGCATTTCAGCACAATTTTAATCTAAAGTGACACCCACACATTTGTGAGCTGTGAGTTTTTCCCACCTTGGTGCTGTTGCTGTGATGAGAATTCCCAGTGGTGCTGTTGTGCTGCTGTCAGTCAGTCCAGGTCCAGTTTCACCTGTGCCCAGGTGCAGCACTTCCCATTCCCATTCCTGGCCAGGTCATGGCAGCTGCCCAAGCCCATCTTGTGAACTTTTGCACAGATCTGTTAGTGTGACCCATTTTGCCTTCCAACAGCAAAGGGATTGTGTCATTTTATTGTAACATCAGCCTGAAAAAGTTCCTCTTCTACTGATGCACTGTTGTTTTTTCTCTCTCCCCCCCAACCCTGTATCTCTCCAATTTTACATGAAGCTTTCTCTCAAGCTGGTAAGCACATTTACAGCATGCCTGTCCTGTGTTTTAATCACAATTTCCTGTGTGTGTTTTAATGTGCACTGTGCCACATGTGACATGACACTGAAATTAACTGTTAAATTTGTTTCTTCTTTGTGTTTGCTTTTTTTGATATTTATCAGATAAATCTGAATACACAGGTCTGGAGTCTAATAGAGGTGATCAGAATTCAGTCTTCTAATAAGCTGCTAAAAAATTAACTCTAATATATAGTTTAGTTTTCACTTTTATAATCTAGGGCTATGAAAATGTAGAAAAAGAGTATTGAGTAATGCTGCTACTGTGTAAGTACATATTAAAACATAAAAAGAAGGGAAAAAATTAAAATAAAGGTCTCTGTGCTTGCTGGAATTTTTTCCAGAGAGCCATGCATGTCTTTCTGTGTAAAGTAGCTGCAAAATTTGCTTTCCGTGTCCAGTATTTCTGGAAATCTGCATCATTATCACCTACATTTTACAGCCCTATGTAGTCCTTCAGAATAACCAATAATGACATTAATTAAAGTTTTGTGAACCTTAACCAACAAGGTTAACTCAATCTGATTTGAATTTACAAATTGAGAGATATGCATATGTGTGAATCCTAAATTACATCTTGGATGTAGCTGGGAAAGTTACTTGAACTGTGGTAAGATAAAGATGTTTCTGAGCTGGAAAGGGAAGGGGTGAGCAGAGCTGGGAAAGCAAATTGCATGCTGAGCTCCATGCACAAGGTGCTGCTTTGCTTGAGACACTGCTCACCTTGCTGTGGCCCTGGCAGCTTGTCCACATTCCTTTGGCCCTGGAGAGCCCCTCAGCAGGAGAATGTGCCTGGTCTGCTGCCCCACCCTGTGCAAACACAGCAGAGCCACACCAGTGATGGCATTTGGGGACCTCAGAGGATCCACAGGGGCACCCAAACTGTGCTGGCTTCCAAGGTCTCTTATTCCTCACCAGTTTGTGCCTTTGGGTGCTCTTTCCCTCCCCTGTGAGGATGGTGAGGCCCTGGCACAGGTTCCCAGAGCAGCTGTGGCTGCCACATCTCTGGAATTGTCCAAGGCCAGGCTGGAAGGGGCTTGGAGCAATCTGGGATTGTGGAAGGTGTCCCTGCCCATGGCAGGGGGTTGGAACAAGATGAGCTTTAAGATCCCCTCCAACACAAACTGTTCTGTGATTCTACACAAATCCTGTGCTCAGACACATCATTGTGGGTCTCTTCTGCTCATGGCAGCTCATCCAGAGAAATGTGTGAGCAGTTCTGGGTCCTGCTGCTGCTCTGGCAGCACAGTGACTTTTTGGGCTCCTTTAGCAAGGTTGCTTCTCACTGAAGACCTGTGGCAGGTGTGAGCAAAGATGGGAGTGCCTGGAATATGTGCAAACCTCCTTTTGGCTGTTGCCAAGCCACTGTCCTGGCAGCCCAGTGCATTTTTACCAGATGTCCACTCATTTTCTTGGTCACAGTGCTAGTGTGCTGTGGAGCTGAGTTAAGCCTTTGTGTGTAGGAGTAAATCCTTCAAAAATTGTTGACATGGCCTTTCTCTGGGAATTGCAGAAATTGGAAAGATGTGCAGGGAGGGCTGAGACCCATTTCCAACTCAGATGGAGAAAAGCAGCTTTTTGTAATCTCCTCTTGGATCCTTACTGTGCAATAGCCAAAACTGGGGCTGAAAAAGCTCATTCTCTCCTCACATGTAGCTTCAGCCCAGAAACCAGTGCTAGCACAACCTCTGCTTTCACAGCCCTTCATCCTGGGACAATTTGAATCCTAAATCTCATTGTCTTTCTTCAAGGGGGACCTTGTGAGCAGCACATCAGAATTGCTTTTCCAAATTTTACTCTGTCTGTTGCATTCTACTAATGTACAGCTGGGGATATTTTCAAGCCTCTCTTCTTCTTAGAAGTGAGGAGGATATGTCAGAATTTGTTATCTAGACTTTCCTGTAACTGCTTGTTTGTTTACAAAGCTGCCTCCAGATGCTTTGCCTTAAAAAGATGTGTGTGGTTTTAGTGTAGATTATCCATAAAATAGATTGAATCACTCTCATGTCTGTTGTGATGTGGGAGTTACTGTCAAGCAAAATCTAAACGTTAAAGAATGAATTAAAATAGATCTCTCCTCTACCAGGCACATCAAGCAGTGTAAGCACTGGTAGGACTCTGTGTGGGTAAGGTTTCAGAATCAGCATAACTTCCTTAGTCATTTGTCTTAAATTTGCTTTCTCATTGTCTCACAAATGGAATTTTAAGTGTATTATTGCACAGAGGATCAAGGCTTCACTAGAAGCACATGCCATTTTTGACTGGCAATCAATACAGCAGCAGTTTCCTCAGCTCTGTGACTTTGGAATGGCCAGACCAGAGGAGAAGGTGACCTGTGTGTGGTTGTCCTCCAGCCCTCTGACCCCCCGAGACTGGTTTTGAACAGCTTGTTCTGCAGCTGCAGGAGAAAGTCACAGTGTCCCAGCACATTCAGTACAGAGCCAAGGGTCTAATGAGCAGCTTTTGAGACAGTGTCTCCTCTAAATCACTCTCCTCAGAGAGAAATTTGGTGTTTTAGCAAGACTGATGGCCCAGCCCTGCTCACAGGCTCTCTCTAAGCTGAGGCACCACTGAATTTGGTTATTCAGCTTTGTGCTTTTACCCTTCTTTCTCCCATATTGCCCCTTAGAAATGGGACAGGAAATGAGCAGAAGCCAAAACGAGCAAAACCTGTTCAAATTCAAGCTTATGCACAAGGATCTCACTCCCTTATGGTGCAACTAATCAGTATTGATATGTGTTCAGTATAGCACACCCAATCTGCCTCCATTGCCTTCTGGCAAGACAAAAATAGGTGTTACTGTGAAGAAAAGAGTGTGGATGTGTTTTATGTGTCATCTATCTGCTATATCAAATTGAGGCAATCAAGAGGAGACATAGCAGAAGGCAGAAAAAGGGGTTTTCAAGCAGAATCACACAAAGGTAACCACTGTGGTCTTCACTTTTTTTTTTCCTTTGGTTATGATTTCAAACTGGCTGATTCCATGGCTTTGATATAACTTCTGGTTTTTATGTGAGTATAAGTGAGAGAGGAAAAGCTGAGAGACTTTGGCGTGGAATGTGGACCCTGGAAAGTAAGCAGCATGGTTTTTAAATTGCAGAGTCCAGTGGGGAATGCTTCTGTTAGCTTGGTGTGCTCAGGAGAGCCCTGACATGAATGAACTCTGTTGGACCAGCAGTCAGTGCACAGGAGAAGTGCAACTCTGACACTGGAATAAAAGCCAGGAACTGCTTTTCTGGGAATGCTGTTTGTAGCACAGTGAAAGAAGGCAGGGAGGATCAGCTTTCCATGAGAAGGGAGCTCGATTAAAAAAAAAAAAATAGGTGATAAAACTATAGATAAAAATAATTTCTCAGCTTTGCTGTTGAATTCTGGAATTCTCCAGCTGATTTTCCACTGTTAGGGAAGCAGGATGTGTTCCTGGGATCATTTTGAGGGCATCCAGATTCCTCAGCATTCAGGGACTGATAACCCACTGCAAATGATAACAGTGCTTCAGACCACTGTGGTTTTTGCACAGGTTTCTGTGAGCTGTTTTTGCAATCCCAAAGCATTCTTTCAGACTCTGATTATTAACTTTTTTCCTTATCCCCCCCCACCCTCCATTCCACTCTGTGCAGGGAGCAGGCCCAGAAGACTTCAGCAATCTCCCACCTGAGCAAAGAAGAAAGAAGCTTCAGCAAAAGGTCGATGAACTAAACAGGGACATTCAGAAAGAGATGGATTCAAGGTGAGTCAAACCTCTCCCATGAAAAATGCAATTGCACTGAGCAGGGACCCTGTGTGTGATGGACGTGGGCAGATCTCAGGAGCAGAGGCTGTTGGGAGATGATTCCATCATCCAAAGCCTCTCTGATCTGCAGCTCAGATTTCCTGGAAGCCCGAAGATAATGACTCCTGTGCTTTTGTGAATGCTTTTTCTACAAGGCTGCATTTATCATTCTGGTTGAGAATAAGGCTATTTTAGCTACACACTTTTTAATTGATTCTGGCAGCCTGTATTTGTTCCTTGTGTTTGTTCACATTCTGTAGTTGTATTAAAGATTCAGCATGTTTTGTTTGTGAGACACAGAACTTTTCTTCCCTGAAGGATTTCAAGACTGGTCTCTCCCTAAAAACTGTTTTGCATTTGTAGACATGTGCCTACATTTTGTGTCAGCTTGCTTTCAAGAACCTGCTTCTTTTGCCTACTAACCCAGAATTTCTCCTTTATATTTTATATCATGGATAAGAAAAGAAAAATTGCACGTGGTTATATAATTTGTCATTGCTTTGTTTTTTCCTCTGTGGTAACTTAGGTTTGCCTCTGTGCAGGTTTTTCTTTCTGTTCTGTATTGATTCTGAGGTAACCCAACATTAAAATCAGATATGGAATTGCAGCAGAGTGAAGTTTAAATAAAGACAGTTTATGATGGAGAAAATAGCACCAGCAGTTAAATAAGAGTTAAACAAACAGTAATAATTGTGACTCATACGTTTGCAACATTGTCCCTTAGGGCTTCAGGCACAGAGCAGTCCCACTTCCTTGCCACCCACACTTTTTCCCAGTTTCCATACACACAAGGCAAAGGCACAGGATTGCAATTGTCAAGAGTTTGGTGGGAAACTCTAAAGTATAAAGAGTGTGAACTTGAGTCGTGGGACCTCTCTCCCACCAGCTAATGCCTAGAGAAAATCTGAATAATTGTGCCTAAAACCAGCCCATAATTCCATTTCCAGCTCTGCAATGTCCATCAGCAGCCCAGAGAAGCTGCCCTGGGACCCAGCTGGACACGGGGTCACATTTTGTAGCCTCAAGTCCATCTGTCCCTGTGCTGTGACAAACACAAACCATCTGGAGCCAGCTTCCTTTTAAGCAGTGTGAAACAAATAAATATCTTTCAGATTATTTGGGTTGCTAAAGACAAGCTGCAACAGGCAGGGTGAGAATTTCTGGTTTGCCCTCCATTTCTGTTATTGATACATCTTTGTTCCTCTTTCTCAACTGGAGGTCAGCCCTTGATGGATGATAATGATTCCACTGTTTGTCTATGCCCTGAAAACTGGGAAGATAATAGTCTAGAAAGTCGGAGCTGTCATAGATTGCAATGGTTGTGAGATTTATTATTATTTTCCCCAGGGCAGCAAGTAGCTACTGTTGTACTACATAAAAAACCATGTCAGGCTGAAAATCAATATCAAGTATCTTCTCACATTGTAGGTAACTCACTGTTTTTCATCTCTGACAGTGTAAATTCTCTTCTGGCAAATAATTCTACTGTTCTTTTTCAATGCCTGGTTCTATACAGGGCAAAAGCTCTACCTGGGTGTTCTCAGTTCCCTTTGTAACAGCTTAGGTTGAACCTCAGAGTGAGGAAGAGACAGTTTATTAAAGGCATTTACCCCCAGCTGCATTAAATGTGTTTTATTTTTGTTCTGCCCCTCAGAGATGCCTTAACAAAGATGAAAGATGTGTACATCAAGAACCCCCAGATGGGAGACGCAGCGAGCGTGGACCACAGATTGGCAGAGCTTGGGCAGAACATTGAAAAGCTGCGGTTAGAAGTTCAGAAATTCGAGGTATGAGAAGAGAGATCTCAGTAAAAAGCAGCTCAGGTCTCAGCAGGACCTTCCTGGCTTTTCCAGATGTATTGATGCACTTTGGTGTGTGAGGGCAAGGGCTCTGTGAGCCACTTGCATTAATTGGGGTCTTTGAGCTGATTTGTGTAACATAAACATTCACCATCTCCTGTGGCTGTCAGCCCACTGTTAAATTTGCCACAGAAAACAAATTGTGTTAACTGGAGGTGAAGAGAAAATCTACTTCTCTCTGGACTGCCCAGAGGGCTTCAGATGCTTATTTAATTAATTAAATAAATTGAAGCATCATGTTACAGACGTCTGTGGAAAATCAGAGTGACATAAATGCAAAGCACCATTTAGAGACTTAACAGCAAGACAGAAGCCATCAGATGAAATATGTTTTAAGGAATAGTCTGCCATGAACAGGAAGCTGCTTAGTGATATAATATCTCCAGAACAGAAGGGGGGGAGAGTTTGGAATATATAAAGCCCATTATAATTACATGAGAAGGATTAGACAGCTGAGAAAAGACTTCACTTTCTACATTATGCTTTGAACATAAACAGATACAGCCCATTAATTTCAGATGTGGTTTTACTATCCATTGCTTTCTTACCCGTTTGAAATCAGTGTCTCTTTCATTCTCTCCAGCTTTTGTTCTCGTGCATTCAGCAGTTGCTGAGTTTCTGGTGTTACTCAGACTACTCTCAGCAGCTACATATCATTTTACTTGATTGTGACTAGAGCAGCATCATCTGCTGGCTGCTAATTGCTTTTCTGTCAGGGTGTTTTTAGGACCCAGTGCCAGAAAATGGTTACATTTTCAATAAGTGTGTTTTTCAGCAAGACAGTTCAGAACACAAACAACTGACCACTGCCACTCAAAGGAAAACGTGAACACGTTTCCAAACCGGTGTGTTGTGTATCCTGTGTGTCAGGAGTGTGCCAGCAGGGTGAATTCTGTGTGTGTGTGGCAGGGCTGGCTGGCAGAGGTGGAGGGGCGGCTGCCGGCACGGACGGAGCAGCCACGGCGCCAGAGCGGAGTGTACGAGACACAGAACCCGTCAGGAGTGAACAGCTGTGCCCAGGACAGAGAGAGGTACAGTATCTGTACAGCACAGCCACACACCCTGGCCCTGCCATGTCCCACCTCAGAGAGCCCCATTTGTCACCCTGATGGGCGGTGTGACAGCCCCCTCCCTCACTGCTGGGACGGCGAGAGAGACAGAGCGTTTTTACAGCTTTTAATGGTAAAAAATGAGAGTTCTCACTTAGCTGCAGTCACAGCCCAAGCTAGCTCTGGAATCACTGAGCTGCTCCAGCTGGAGCTGCTGCCCCTGCCCCAAGCCTGGTGACCGGGTGGCTCTCTCTGCTGAGGTTGGTTGCTATAGTTGCTGTGTTTTTCCTCTCTTGAGCAGCCCCGATGGCAGTTACACAGAAGAGCAAAGCCAGGAGACTGAGATGAAAGTACCTGCAACAGACTTTGATGATGAGTTTGATGATGAAGAACCACTACCCACCATAGGAACATGTAAAGCTCTCTATACATTTGAAGGTATCACTCAAACTTTACCCTCGTTTCACTGACTGTTTTTTTTAAAAGTTCGTATGCAAAGGGCAAGTGGGAAACCTTCATTAAACCTTAAATAGCCAAAGGGCAAGTGAGGCTCTGGTGTGATTGTGTAGAAAGGCACCAAGACAGGGATTTGTCTCCTGTTGCACAGGAACTCTACAAGAGAAAAATCAAAACTCTGCTGTCAGGGTCACATTTGTCTGGTTCTCTATGTACACACTGCTGACTGCTGAACCACAGGCTCCTGTTCTTGCTGCCAGTCATGCACCAAAAGCTGTGTCCACCCATGGTCTGAGTTAGTGATTGCTGAAGTCCCTGTTGCTGTGTGTTTCAGGTCAGAATGAAGGAACAATCTCTGTAGCAGAAGGAGAGATGCTCTATGTAATAGAAGAAGACAAAGGTGATGGGTGGACACGAATCCGAAGGAATGAAGATGAGGAGGGCTATGTCCCCACGTCCTATGTTGAAGTCTATTTGGACAAAAATGCCAAAGGTGCTATGACCTATATTTAATGCTATTATTATTGTTTTATTTGCTTTCACAGAGATAATCCAACCCTGAAGCTGCTCTGTGTTGCAGATAGAGCCTTTTAAGAGTCTGTCCAATGCCACCAAGTGCATTATTCTGTACGTGGACTAATTATGGCTTGTTGTACTGCAAAATGTGCTTTTCTTGCTCAGAGAAGGGTAGTGTGGGAGACTGTGAAAGCAGAGGGGAAATGCAGCCTTTCCTGGACAGTGCTCAACTGCCATTGCCATTGCATGCCCAGCTTAGTGCAGGGAGCACAAAGCCCTTTGGGATCATTCAGGCTCTCCTCAGATACCCAGGTGGCATCTCAGACACGTCCACAAGTCAGCTGTTTGTCCCAAAGTCACTCGGTGGAACTTTATAGGGGGAATATTTAGACTGCTGGTTTGTGTCTGTGTGGGAGCTTTTCAGAGCCTGTTGTGTTCTGGGAACCTTTTGGATTGAAAACTGGTGGTAATTTAGTTTAGTGTGTGTGGAAGGGGAGGGAGAGATCTTACCAAAACCCCTCTACACAGCACTCTGTGGTCCTTGATAAATGGGTGAAACATTAAGAAAGCTCCTCTGTTCTTTCCCACCTTGCTGCATTTCAGATGTATTTGCTGTTTCAGATGACCAGAACTAATGGTTTAATCTTTTGCTTACACAAGGTCAATGCAGACATTCAGAGTTTGGACTCCATAAGCTGCTGTTTGTTGCTTTTAATTCCTCCCAAATGTTTTGTGTAAGGAAGCAGTGCTGCAGGGCAGACCTGGCTGGAGTAAATGCCAGTGCTGAACACCTGGTAATGGGATACACCAAGGAATCAAAAGATTTAGCCCTGTTTCAAATCAGGACATGTTAGAACACCACTGTTAAATAATTTGTGTTTATTCAGATTGTGTTTCCTAGACTTGAGAGTTCTTGGTGTGAAACAAGCAGCCTCATCCGAGTCAAAAGCAAACTGAACCATTTTCTTTGGGGTTTATGGGCAGCAGGAAGAGAGGAGTAGGACTGTGTCCATAAACCAGCACTGAAACTTGAGCAGTTCAGTGTTAATCAGTGCAGTGCCTTGTCTGCTGCAGGTGAAAATCTGGGCCTTGTTTTATTTTGCCATAATACAAAGACATGGTCAGTTGAGATGCAGAACAGTACAGAATATTTAGCCCCCTCTGTTGGTTTTTATTAACCTTTGAAAGAGGAACAGGGATCATCCATTCCCCTTTATATCCAGAACAAGGCTGAAAGATTGCAAATCATGGAATCACATTCCAACCCTCTGCCATGGGCAGGGACACTTTCCACCAGAGTAGAAATGCAAACTGTGCTGGGGGAAGGCTGATACAGCTGCAGCCATTTCTGTAGCCACAATGGAGGTTTTTCAGATCATTTAAAGTTTTTCCATTAATTTTGCTGGATTTCAGGGACAAAATCAAATGTACCTGTGAATACCTAATGTATAGGAAAAATAATGTTTACCTCTTTTATTGCTCAAGTCTCTAGTTTAAAAGAAAAGCTAAAAGAGAACTTTTCATAGAATACAACATAAAAATTTGGAGGAAATGCTGCTGTATTTATAAGGTGAACTTTGTTGCAAGCTGCAAATTGATTTTTAAGGTATTGGTAGAAGTGACTTGATTCAGTCCTTGAAATAGAAGCGATGACATTCCTGAAGATAGCACTGTAAATACTAAAGCATTTGCAAACTTTAGTAATCCTTTCCTTCTTTTGGAAAGAAGGTTGAGCAGCTGGCACCATGAAAGGCAGGAGGGTGGGAGCTCACAGCAGCCCCTGTGGCTGTCCCAGCCAGCAGAGCCAGTCCTGGCTCAGCTTTACCTGCCTGGCCAGGCTGTGGCTGTGCCACGAGCCAGGGACAGCTCAGTGCCACTGCTCAGTGCTCTGTGAGAAGCTGCTTTTTCACTCAGCTGGAGCCTGTGTTGCCAGGGCTCTGCTGCAGAACTGAGCTGAGCAGGACAGGTAAGTTGTGTGCTGCAGGTGCCCTCCTGATCATGGTCTTAGAGGAGCCAAGCTGGGTCTGTGCCCTGCCAGTCCCTGTGTGAGGGCTCCTGATGACATTTACAGGGTGCCTCTGCTCAGAGGGTGTTGGCAAACCCTGTCACAAAAAGAACAGTAATGCCTATGTTGTTTTGCCTTTTTTTTTTTTTTTTCCAGATGTGCACAAACCACTTCAGAAAATCTCTGAGTAGGTTTGCATAGGCCTGTCCACCCTTTATTCTCCTGGTTTGCTGCTACGGTTGTTTTAAGAGCTCTATTTGAGAAGGTTTTCTTTAGAAGAGATGAATGTCCCATCTCCATCACTGAAAGACTTTGTTAGGTACCAGGTCGGCTCTGAAATGTCACTGCCCACGAAGGTGCTGCCCTGCCTGTGTCCCTTTAGTGCAAACAGCACTGTTGTCCTGAATAGAAATGAGAGCTGCAGGCTGTGCTCCCGCTGGGATTCCTGCAGGAAGCTGTTCTGTGCACACCTGGGTGTAGCACCTTGCAGGGCTTTTCTGTACCTGTGGGGTGGCTGGTGCTGAGAACTCAAACACAGGAACTGGTTGGGCCTTTCAGCTCGAGACTGACCACCCTGTGTTACTGAGCCTGGTACCTCCTCATCTGCTTGGGAACAAAAACTTTCACTGAGGGATGTTGTGAAATCGTGTGACACAAAAAAACCTGCATGGAGTAACCAGCTCTGTACAAACCCTGCATTGCACCCAACAGAAATCCCACGTTCCCTTCCAGCAGAAAGCCTGGATGTTTGTTTGGGTGACATGCAGGAACAGAGGCTGGTTTGGAAGGTTAAACTTCTTGACAAAAACTATTTTGGAGCCTGGGCTGATGAGCATTTTGGCTCCTTTGCCGCTGTGGGTCTGTTCCCCCTCACCTCTGATGATATCAGTAGTTCCTTCTGGACAGCTCTGGCATTCCCAGGGCTGCAGCTCTGCTGTTTGCTGTAACCACCATGCAGAGCCTTGACTTATATAAATAAATAGGTAAAAGTTAACCATGCTGATGCACTTTTTATCTAGGATATATCTGATTATTTAATGCTTGCCAAATTATTTAGGAATTGGTAATTATAAACTGGACTGTGGCTTTTTAAAATCCTTTTGTTAAATACGAGCCCTTAGTTCTCCCAGTATAAAAAAAAAATTGTATATAACATAACTTAAAGACTAAAGTTACTTGAATTGTTTATATCCTTTTATATGTGTATAAATATAAATGGTTTTATAGGCTGTTCTGCTTAACCCAGCTGTTTTGGTAACTACTCAGTCCCTCTGATGTTGATAAGTGTTTTTGGTTACTCAGCTGCCTGCACCTGGACTTGCATAGGAACTGCTGTTGTGTGTTAAGGTTTGTTCAATCTGGCCAGTGTGGTTGTCTTGTTTCTATTCTTATTTTTTAAAGAATCATCATCTGTCAGGAATCTCTTTATAGCTTGATGTACCATGGTGTCTTCTTCTAATAAACATTATATTTTCTCATTCCTGTGAGGTTTTGGTTTTTGAGTTTTTTTTTTTAATAACAGTAACTAGTAGATAGCAATAATTAGTGGCAAAAAATAGCAGCACTTAACTTTCCTAAGGGACAGCAAATGGCCCAGAGCTGCTTCTCACTCTAAGCACAAATGCAGTTCTTCTCAAGACAAATATTTTATTGTGGCTATTTGAAAACTTCTTTGTGCTGTCAGTTGGAAGGATTTGATAGAAGTGAGTGCAAAGGAGTTGAGAAGGGTCCCCTGGTCTCTCAAATGCAAAGGAAGTTTGGACTGATCCTGTATTCCCTTGGATACAGCAATCTGGGCCAAATCACACTCCTGGATTGTAGCTTCACTTGGCCAAAGGAAAAACTGGGCAGGCCCCAGTCTGTGGGAACAGGGATGGCCAGAGGAGGGCTTTGGAGGCCTGGGCTGCTTCACTGGCCTGCATATTCCTGGCTTCCCTGCAGAAGGAAAGGCTTTTGCAGCCTGTGGTAGAAAGGAAAGCTCTGGATTGCTCTGCAAATTCTTTGATTTAATTTCCTGTTGCTCAGTGTCATTGATGGTCTCTGGAGCTGTCACTTGAACAGATGCTGCTTTGCAGACAGAAAATGAAAAAGCTGTTTGTTTTCTCAGTGGCACGAAGCAGGTGCTGGCAGGGTCCTGCTCCTGTGCTTTACTCCCAGAGCACAGCAGAGTCCCAGTGATGCTCATGCCAGGCTGGAGGGAAGGGCTGAGGGTGAAGGGTCTGAGTCAGGAGCCTTCCTAAGCCCTGTAACCCACTAGATACTTCATTGCTTTATTTCCTTTAACCTTCTCCAGGCAGAGCTGCTCTTAAGGGACCCCATTTCCCCCAACCTCTTTCTAATCCAGTCTCTTTCTTTTTGTCTTTCTTATGTTTTAGATTCCTAAAGGTGTTTGTGCTGGTGCAAGAACCTCGGGGCGAGCTTGTCACAGAAGGAGAAACACAATGGTCTGTTTACCCTGCAGGCAGTTAAAACACACCCATGGAAAGCCAGACTCCCAGTCTTGTCTGGAGTTCCCACTTGAAAAATTCAGACCTAAAAATTCCATCCCAGTACGATTCAGATGCTTGCTCTTTTCCATGGCATGCTACTTGTGACTCAGATTTCCTTATCAGCCTCTCCCACTCTTCTGCCAGTCTGGCACAAGCCCCTCTGTCAAACATAACACACACTTCTCCCAACCCAATCCCTCCCAGCTTCTGTCAGAGAATTGCTGGCTGCCCTTGGATGCAGGGGGTAGCCAGAGAGTCCCAAGCATGTTCTGGTCTGTCTTCTGTCCCCTTGTCCCTCAGTCCATCTGGATGTGCACACTGGTCCATCAGCATTTCACACAGTGCCTTTAGTGCTAAACCTGCAGCTCCTCTCACCAGAGAGCGTGGAAAGGAGGTGGAAACCTCCCCTGGAACGGTGTTACAGCAGCTGGACTGGGCTCTCAATTTGTCAATATCAAACCTGATCCACATGTATTATTCAACATTCTGCCTTCCCCAAAAGGTCACTAATACTTGTCAGCCTTTATTTCTCTTTTTTCAAATCCAGGCTGATGCTCATTCCAAGTATTAAACCCCTCTGACCCTGCTGTTTTCCTGAAACCCTTGAAGCTCACGTATGTACTTGTTTTCCTGCTTGTTCTCTCTGCCCCCTCCTGTGTCCCTGCTGTTCCTCACACACACACACAGACACACACACACACAGACAGTGGCATTTTGGTTGGCAGCCCTTGTTGCTGCTCACAGGCCCCGTTTGGCTCTGGTTTCAGCCTGCATGCTCGCCCTGTTGCCTTGCCTGCGCCCACCTTCCTCAGGGTCACGTTATTTTGTGGCTCGTGGTTTAATCTCTCTGCAGTTTTCTTTTGGTTGGTTTGTTTTTCAGCATTTCAGACCTGCCTTCTCTTTTTGCATGACCTCCTGTGCGTTCTCATCAGTTCATGTTGGAATAACGGAGTTTTTTTAGATAAATAAAAGAGGAAAGAAAAAAAAAAAAAAAAGAAACCGCACTGTTTCCTTCTCCCATCTTGTTGTGGACCGGACCTGGACCCAGCAGCCAGACAGGAATTGTGACCACCCTGTTCTCACATGGTTTGGTTTGAAGCAGAAGTAGGATAAGTGATTCTGCACTTTATCATGTCATACAGTGGTAAGAGAGCTACAATATCTCCAAAAATCACATGATCTGGACTTCAACTGCCTAATAAAGGGTCAATTTCCTCTCTAAACTTCTACAAATTTCTATATTCTAACTTGGTTTCCCCTGAATTATTACCATTGTTTGGGTTTTACAGTCATGGGCATGTTTGAGCCCTGCCAGAGTCAGTTGCCACTTGATAGCTCCCGAGGGCCAAATTTATTCATGACTCCACACCTTGTCTGTGGGAATCTACTGGCTCTAGTCCAACTCCAGCACATTCTGTACAATCCCCACAAGTTGAGCAATTTTACATGGAAGCCTCTATGGGCAGTGACCCCAAAATGAAACCTCTCAGGGTTTGTTTGCAGGCAGGTGAGTGTTGTTTTGCTGCCTGCTGGGCTGTCCTGCAGGGTCAGCACATCAAAACACATCCCAGAATCTCAGACTCTCCATGTTGTGAAGAGAATGTTGGGATGAAGTGATTTTTGAGCTGGGTTATGTGTGGTGTTCATAATTCTGTCCCTTTCTCTCCATTTAAGACGCCAACTTTTGTTTTTACAAAGTCCCTTGGTGCTACAGTTCCTCCTGTAGCTGTTGTGTGATTGGTGCTTAAGAGTTGCCAGCATGAACCAGCAGAAGGTTTGTGATTTAAACCCAACCCAAATGTGCTGAGCACAGGCAGCACCTGGGCTGGGGCTGTCCTGCTGCAGCACTGGAGGGTCAGAATCCAGAAATCACTGCCTTATCACTGCTGCTGCTGTGGTCACTGAGCTGTTCAGATCAAGAGCAGAATGGGATCCCCACAGTTGGCACCTGTGGCTTTGTGCAAAGGCTTTGTGGTCTCCACCTGCCAGGGGATCTAAAGGGTTGAACAATTAACAGGTGTGCAAAAATATCCTTACAATATTTTTAGCTGCAGTATTTTTATTCTCGTGTCCAATGCACTGTTGAATCAGCAGCTAAGAATTAATTTTCACCTATTGTTGTGCCATCTATGTAAAAATTAGATCAAAGTTTGCTTTTCTATATTTAATCTGGGTGGACAGTATATTATTGTCAGCCTCTGTGGAACATTGGAACAATTGCAATGTCTGTGTTTCTAAATTGTGCTGTAGAAGGAGCATTAGCTTTAGCTGACTGATTCCTGAAGTTTTATTAAAAGACCATGTATGGAGTTTTTATAAACTTGGCAAGTAGTTCCCAAAAGCCTGGATCATAAAACTTATTTAAGAAATAGTGACAGTCATATCTCATAGTCTGCACACGTTTATTCCGCTGCTGTTATTCAGGGTAATGAATAATTTTTGTAGAATTTACCTTTGGCAAACGCTGAAGAACTAAATATGACTGGTTTATAAAAACTCTGCTTGGATTTACTAATCTTGCCCAGCAGCGTGCACTGTACATCCTATGAAATTTCATGATCCCCAGCAAAAGTCTCTAATGCCCTTTCTTAACACCTGTAAATAGAGAAGAAACATATTTACTGATACTCAAAGTCGTGTTTAATGCTGAGTATTTTTCAGAAATTCATTTAGTTTGATGCATATTGTTCTTTGTTTTTTTTGTTTTCCTGCCTGAAATGTCAGAAGACCTAAAAGAAGCCAAAATTCTATTTTAACATGATGATGTCGAGCACTTTTTTATTTGTATATGTGTGTGTATGTGTGTTTGAGCACTGATCTCGGTGGCATCTCAGTGTTGTGATTTCATTGCCAATGTAAAAGGTTCTGGTGTTGCCCATTCATTTCTGGAGACAGAATTCAACCAAATAAAGTGCTTCCATTTGAAAGCGAATATTGACCTTGTAGCAATGAAACAAAGTCATCTGCATATTTAAATAAACATTTAATTCCAGAAATACAGTTTCACTGGACCCTTTTGATCAGCCAGACTGGAAGAAAAATGGATTTGTTGCTTTTTTTTTCCCAACAGAAAAGTTGGTGCCTCTTGCCTGGGGCTCTTGGGGCTGTTGAGCTGCAGCCGTCGCTCTCCAGGAGTTGCTGCTTCCCAGTGGAGAATGGGAATTTGAATTTGGCTGTGGCTGCTGCTTCAGCCACAGAGAAATTCAGACTCCAACTCCCCAGAGCTGTTCTCAAACTCCTCATTATTCTTCCTGACTATGGGGTGGATTTGGGTTTTGCTTCCAGCTGTAAAATGTACATGGAACAAGTGGATCAACACATTCCAGTGTGGTGCTGTTCTTAATTCTCTCTTCAGAAAAGTGAGGATACATTTTCACTTGTGGTACCTGTTGGCTTTGGTTTTGTTTTTTATTTTATATTATTTCCTACTGGAATTTTCAGGAGTAGTAATTTGGCTCTGTCTGTACCTCTGACTGTTCCACACAGATGGGTCCCATCAGGTCACTTGGAGATTTGATTTTATCAAACTTTGACCTTTCCAGCTGGTGCAGAAGAGAGAATGAAGTGGTTGGGTTGTTTGTTTGTTTCTTTTTAATTTGGTCATGTGAAGAGAAAAAAAAATGGGCTGTTGTGGCTGGAGTTGTGTTGGGAGTGCAGGTAGTTTGTGCTTTTTCAGTAGGAGCCTATGAGAACTGGAAATTGGGGGAAAGATTTCATCTAAAGAGAGAGTTGTGTCATGGAATGCCTGTGGTGAGTGCTTTGTTCAGCTGGAAGTCTTGGCAGATGTTTTTGATGCTGATTAGTTTTATATTAAAACTCAGGCTGTTGCAAGCCTGGTAAGGAATGGGTTTGGGCAGGGATGTGTGGATGTGTCCAACACAGCAATGCCTCCCTTCACCAAATGATCCAAAAACCAGGCACATTTCTGTAACTGGCTGAATGTACAATTCCATTCTGATGTGCAGGGTTGTGAATAATGTGTGTGTGTCTCTAGCTGA